GTATTTCATTGTAAATATTAAAAAGAAAGGAAGTAGGAGTAAGGTGAGTCCATGGGAGGGAGGGAGGGTAGAGTGTGAAGTATCACTATGCTGTTAATCTGTATATATGAAATGCATGGAATTCATTCACCTTATATAAATTTAAGAAAAGGAACAAAAAGACACTTGCCTAACCTAAGGTTAAAGAGAATTTCATCCTGCTTCCTTTTGAAGGTTTTTGAGTTTGTCATTTTACATTTAGATCAATGAGACATTTGGAGCTAATTTTTGTATGACATGTGAAAATATAGGTCAAATTTCTTATCTGTCTGATGCCTATTTACATAGGGATGATCTAGTTGATACAGATCTTTTTTTATAAAAGTTCATGCATTCTAGAAAATGTTGCCTTTGTACCTTTTCAAAAATTAATTGAACTAGTGTTGTGCAGGTTTATTTTCACTTTCTGTTTTATTGATCTACATTTCTATCAATATAACCACATTTAATGTAGCCTAATTGTAAGCCTTGAAATCAAGTAAGGTGTGGCCTCTAATTCTGTTCCTTTTTTAAAAAATTGTTTTGGTTATTCCAATTCATTTAATTTAAATTTTAAATTTTCATTTAAATTTAGAATTAACTTGCCAATATCTTTGAAAAATCCTTGAGGTTGAATTTTTATTTATTGAGTTTTATAAATAGTCATTTTATGAATAATTGACATTTTAAAATTTTCGCTATTCAAATCAGAAACATTGTATTTTTCCATTCACTTGAGTATTATATTTTTGGCTCTTTGTATACATTGTTTGAATGAGATAAAAGAGGGAGAAGAAAAATAAAAAATAAATGGTGTTCTTTCTTCACATTTTGATTACTGTCTGCTTACTGTTTCTTAATTTGTATAATTGTCAAGTAGTTGCTTTTTTATTTCTTCCAGAATTTTTAGTTGTAGTTAATGGGAGAAATAGGCTGTAGTAGGCTTACTCCATCTTTATTTTGTGTTCTTTGTGGTGATAACATGGATGGCAGGACATACAGGAGTAGCTTAATTGGTGTTTTCCATTAAAAAGAAACAAAAACAAACACTCTGAGCTTTCCAAAGGTGGGGTTGTTCATTGTGAATAATATACTTTCAGTATGAAAACTCAAAGGATTTATCACATGTGGATAAGGATTTAGGGGAGATGATGCAACCCAGGACTGTTCTTTCTTTTATGTCCAATAACACTTACTGAAATTCAAGAGCTTCTCCTTTTTTGACAAAGTGAGGATGTGGATTTTAAAAATATGTGAAATGAAACTTGATGTGACAGTTGGCAGAATCACCACGGTCTGTCTGTGAGCATTCTTAGCCCATATTGCTTTGCTGCCAAATAACAGGAGTGACCACGTAACACAGGATCATACAGTATTACCATTTATTTAGCCTAAAAGAGAATATAATTTCCTATGTCAAAACACATCTCAGCTAATTGATAAACTCCAGTATCTTCCAAACAGCATCTTGTCTCCTAAATCCCAAGAGGGCTTAGTGTGAGAGAAGTATAAGTAGCCTCACCTTCTAATAGGGATACTTGTCAGATTTCCTGTTTCATCTCTAATATTTGAAAATTTCCAAACTTATTTTCTCAAGTACAATATTTATGGAGTGTCTTATTTCTTATGCCCTGCTTATAGGTTGCTTGTAATGCGTTTCAAATAAATTTTAAAAAAATCATATATGACTAATGCTTTGCCAAAGCACAATGCTACAGAATAGTCCAAAACACTGACTAAAATAATCCACTAGAGTGAATTTCAATTAAAACATTATATATCCCATACTATAACCAGAATGTTAATATAATTAATAGCATTAATTGTATTTTCATTGCAATGCAAGTTGATTGTGAACTTACAGAACTACACTGACTCTGTATGTTTGCAAAACTGGAAAAATATTGATTTATAGAGGATTCTACTTTACCTATTGTGGGGAGCAACTCGGACTAGACTAAGTTACTGGAATTAAGACTTATTCTATGCATCTGCTCTCCCACAATATGGCGCTGGGAGAGGAGGAAACAGCATCTACGCAGCTGCCTCTTGCCAACTTGAGTGATGACCTCCAGGAGCTGATCCTGCTCCTGATTGGAGGAGAGCAGCGTACTCGGCGTGTGGGCAGCCGAGTTGGGATTGGCGGAGGAGGACTATAAAGGAGGAGAGAGACGGCATGCACCAGGAACATCTAAGAGGAACATCTAAGAGGAACACCTGTGCAGCCCCCGAGAGAGCCGGCCGGCGGTGTGCCGCTCCCCCGCGGAAGTGGGGAATGTGGCAGGGGGAACCGCCCTTCCACGGAGGTGGAAGGGTCGGTAGCCAACCCGGGAAGAACCAGCAGCAAACCCGGGGAGGGCCGAGCAGACGAAAGAACAGCGCAGGGTCCTGTGTCGTTCCTCCACGAAGACGGGGAGCGACACCTATGAAAGCTGTTCAATGTTTAGAGTATGTAACATCTTAGAAGTTATATTTTTAAATGATATCAGCAGTGCCCTACATGAGGGCTTTACCTTAGAACACTAGAATCTCCTATTAATCACTTCTGCAATCTGAGAGGTTAGCCCAGTATCTAGGGTATAAATAGTGAATGAATAAATTAATGTTCCATTATGTATGTCATTTATTCATTCACTATTTGTACCCTGTGTGCTGTGCTAACCTTTCAGATCGCAGAAGTGATTAATAGGTGATTCGTGTTTTCTTTTGTAAAGCCCTCGTGTAGGGCATTGTGAGCTGATTTAAAAATGGATTTGTAACTATCTTTGTCAAATGAATATTTGTCCTTCACTTAGTCATTCAAATGAAGGTAAGAGAGCAATCACGTTGTATCCATAGCCCACTAGAAGGGAGAATATATCATATATCATATAGTATTTATAGAAATGCTTTATTCACAATACAGAACATTTTGTAGTTTACAAAATGCATTTGAGTTGTGCATTTAATTCTCCTAATAATATAATTAGATCGGACATATATTAAACACTTTACTTATGATTAAGGAACTGAAGAAAACATAATGGGTATATATTTATACTCTAGACACAAATTGAGAAATGGCAGAATTGAGACTCCAAGGCCATTCACAATTTTTAAACAAGAGTTTAGCCAAGAGTTTAGCCTGCTGATCCAAAACTCTGGGGTTTAAATTCTTGTGATGTGCCAGCTGAATTAATTTGGTTTAGATAGTTAGGAAACTCACAGAACTCTCAGTTTAATGTCATATCCCCTAGGAAACTCACTTTGATTAAATGGATTAGTGTTATAAGCAACTACTATGGTAGTAAGTTGACCACTCTGTAACAGGCTGTCTTCAATTTGCTTTCCCTACTACATTATAAACTTCATGAAACTACTTTTCTTTTTTTTAGTTTTTATTTAATGAATGTATTTTTCATAGGTACAATTTTAGGAGTATAGTGGTTGTTTCCCCCTTACCCACCCTCCCACTCCACCTCCCATGCCACCTCCCTCTCCTTCTCCCTCTCCCATCCCCTTCTTCATTATGGTTCATTTTTAGTTTGATTTTATATGCAGAGGACCAACTCCATGTTAAGCACTGAGTTCAACAGTTTGCACCCACCCACACACACACAAAACATGTATAATAGAGTTTGAGAACAGATTTGCACTTAATTCTCATAGTACAAACTCATTAAGGATGGAGGTCCTACATGGGGAGTAAGTGCACAGTTGACTTCTGTTGTTCCTTTAACAGTTAACACTCTTATTTATGACATCAGTGATCACCCTAGGATTTTGCCATTGGCTGCCTTTTGTAACCATATGGAAGCCTTTTGTGACCATAGACCCCATTGGTATTTGGACACAGCCATATGCAAAGTAGATGTTCTCTCCTCCCTTCAGAGCAGATTACATCCTTCATTGATGGCCCCTTCTTTCCACTGAGGATGAGACTGCTTTTCTTGCTTGCTGTAGTACCACCTCCCTTGCATTCCTGGGCTCTAATGAATGGATCTCCTTCATGGTCTTCACTCATGCCAATTCATTGCTACCTCAGTGCCCTTTGCCAATTCCCCTTAACCTGGAATGTTCTGAGAGCTAATGGCAGTCTGCTTCTTTGGTCTCAGCACAATGACAGCTTGAAAAAGTTTTCATTCACCATTATAGTAAAATTTTTCATAGCTTGTTTTACTTGGTTCATAGGATGTGGCATCATTTGACATTATTTGATTCCTTTGTCAATGCTTTGCTTAAACATTCCTTGAGAGCAGGCATTCGATCTGCCTTGTTTCCCACTTTTATTTCAGCACTTTAGCAGTGCCTGTCATGTTAGATACATGATAAATATTGGTTGAGAACATGAAGAGAAGAATGACTATATATAGCTTAGGTTTGATATGCTAGTTAATTTTTAGTACACAGAGAAATACAAAATTATTTTGAGAATCATGTTGACATCCCACCTCAAATAATCCTGTATACTACACTTTGGGAAATACAAATTCATCAATAAGTAACTATTTATGAACATCATTCTCCCTGAAAGATATTAACAAAGTTCATATGGATAGATTCTCTTCACTTCTGTATTCATACTGCTTATCATGTTGCTTGGCACATGTTAAGTGTTTAGTAACAATAGTACTATTAATAAATAGATAAAATAATATTTGCCTGTAACAATATTAGTAACACAGTAACAATATTACTATTAATAAATAGATAAAGGAAATAATATTTGTCTGTAAGTCAGTAGTATGTATTGGTATTGTGTGGTCATTTATATTTATCTTGTTTACTTATTATTTATTTGAGAGGCAGAGAGTCAGAAAGATACAGTCAGATAGACAGATGGAGAGAGAGCTCCCATCTATCACTGGGCCAGGTCAAAGCCAGAAGGAACTCAACCTAGATTTCCCATGTGGGTTTAGGGGAGCTTATTAATACTGAGGTGCTTGTCTATTCTGCAAGTGTGTTTAGGTACAAAATAACTACTTTCCTTCTCACATTCACAGGATTATACTTTGACAATGTACTTTCAACAAGCCTGGAGAGATAAGAGACTGTCCTATAATGTAATACCTTTAAACCTGACTCTGGACAACAGAGTGGCAGACCAGCTCTGGGTTCCTGACACCTACTTCCTGAACGATAAGAAGTCATTTGTGCATGGAGTGACTGTCAAGAACCGCATGATCCGCCTGCATCCAGATGGCACGGTCCTTTATGGCCTCAGGTCTGTAATGTCTGTTTTAAAGTATAACTTTCCCTGGGAGAAGGGAACAAGAGCTGTTTCTCTTTAATGGAAGGGGATATTGTGCTGTTTTTCTTACTCCTCCTGCAATTCTTCTGATAAACAGTTAACCCTCCTATCCACTCTCCATCTGAGAGCTTAGGGTAGCATGCTTACACAAGGACTTAGCCTCACTAAAAAACTAAAAACTTATATCCCTATTCAGCTATTGATCCTAAAGCTGCTTTCTTTAAGGAGTGGAGATGAACAATATCCAAATAGTGGAGACCCAGGGTTTCTTTAAAATGGGAAAAAACTGAATGCTAAATAATTGTTAGGACGTGGCAGATGCTCTGATTTAGAAATTGCTCCTGAGCTGCCTGAACTGGGCCACAGTTCTCTGATGAGAGGAACGTTTCTGTGCCCTCTCACTGTCCAACAAGCAGTGTAGCAAATAAATAAAGTCGTTTTCTCATGATTGTTAGGAGTGAGTTTGTGCTGTTAAATGCACCACACTGTTAGAAAAAGGATTGTGAAGCACTGCTGAGGGTGAAATAGACAGTGTCTTCTGTTCGTTTATTTTACATTTAAAATAGTGGATGGTTTCTTGAAGAAAATGAAGGAAAAAAGTGTCTATCTTCTCTTGAAAACAATGAATTTCTTTTTTATTATGTTATGACAAAGAAATTACAGGGGAAGAAATTCTAATTTTAACATTTAGTTGCTTCTAGTCTATTTCATATAAATATGTGAGTTATTATAATGATGCAATTATAATATTACACATGTGTTGGGCATATGTGTTATGGATCAGACATTGTGCTAAGTAATTTTTAGGTATTTTTATGCAGTAATATTCTCCTTATATGCAGTTTTGCTTTATTCAAATTCAGTTATCCCCTGTTAACCATGATATGAACATATCAAATGGAAAATACCAGAAATGAGGAACCCATTAATTGTAAAATTTGCACTATTCTGAGTACCATGATGAAATTTTGTACTGCCCTTCCTACTCATGCCCAGAACTTGAATGATCCTTTTGTACAGCACAGCAACATTGTATATAGTATCTGCCAGTTAGTCACTTAGTATTATCTTGGTTTTCAGGTCAGCTGTCCTGATAATACAGTACCAGTGTCCAAGTAAAGCTTATTTTACTGAATGTTAGCATCAAAGTTCTAGAGTAGAGATGCTGGCAATTCAAATATGTCAAAGTGAAGCTGTAAAGTGTTTCCTTTAAGTAAAAAAGTGGAAGTTTCAACTTAATGTGGAATTAAAAATATTATATACTGTTTGCTGAGATCTAGGTTAAGAATTTATCTGTGAAATTGTAAAGAAGAGAAAAGGAAATTCAGGATTGTTTTGCTGTTGCACTTCAAAATGCAAAAGTTATAGCCACAGTGTGTGATAAGTGCTTAGTTAAGAGGGAAAAGTCAGTATTTTTTGGTGGAACACATGAACATAAACATGTTCTGATTGATGGCAATGTGTTGGACCAGAAAGTATTGAGCCTGTGTGAAGATTTCAGCAAGGGTTTCCCTGGAATGAGTGATACCACACCATTTACTGCATGTAAGGGATGACCACATGAGCTCGGGAATAGATTTAGGCTAAAAAATATATTTAAAAATTACTGGGGAGGTTAATATGCTGATGAAAAAACTGTTGCCACATTTTCAGTAGCATTGAAGAAGTTGGTTAAAAAGAAAGGGCATCACCTAATGGAAGTCTTCAATTGTGATGAAACCAGGCTTTAAGGGAACAAGATTTCTGATGGAATGCCCATTCATAAAAATGCAAAAAGGTACCAAGACCGAAAACATGGAATGACAGATTAACTCTGTTATTCTGTGGCAGTGCTGCAGGTCATATAATAAAACTAGTAATATTGCACAGAACAGAGAAGCCATGAACTCTCAGGAAAAAAAGAAAAGTGAAAATGATCTACCCATGTTTTGGCACCCTAGTAAGAGAAGAGCATGGAAGCCAACCATCTTATTTATGGACTTCTCCACCAATGCTCCATCTCAGAAGGAAAAAAAAAAATACTTGGAGGAGGAAGGGTTAGAATTGAATATCTTTGGGACCAATGTGGTGGCGCACTGGGTTAATCCTCTGCCTGTGGTGCCGGCATCCCATATGGGTGCCGGATTCTAGTCCCGGTTGCTCCTCCTCCAGTCCAGCTCTCTGCTGTGGCCCGGGAGGGCAGTGGCGGATGGCCCAAGTGCTTGGGCTCCTGCTCCTGCATGGGAGACCAGGAAGAAGCACCTGGCTCCTGGCTTTGGATTGGTGCAGTGCAGGCTGTTACAGCTATTTGTGGAGTGAACCAATGGAAGGAGGACCTTTCTCTCTGTCTCTCTCTCTCTCACTGTCTGTAACTCTACCTGTAAAATAAATAAATAAAAATCTTAAAAAAAAGAATTGAATATCCTATTAGCAATAGACAATTGATGTGACAATCTTGTTTCTGTTTGTTGTAAAATAAAAACATTGAGGTTGTATTTTTACCCCCAAATACAAACATATGTGTCAGCCCCTTTATCAGCGGTTATTCAGCTTCATGAGGAAAATATACTAGCTGGGTGTTTGATCACATTCAATTAGCAATCGCTGTAGACACTTTTATGAACATAATGCCAAGCTGGAAACCATTCACTACTGTTAACACAGTAACATTGATCAAAACTTCAATGCATGAATTAAAGCCAGAAGCTGAAAATGTCTACTAGAAGAGTGTAGTGAAAGTTGTGAATGATGTTCAATACTTCCTGGAGATTGACAGAGAAGTTAGAAACATCACTAACAAAGTTGAGCAAGGAGTCTGAGAAGGATTTTCCAATATGCTTGATGAAGAATTTCTGGAAGAGCACATCCAAGACCACTGAGAATTTTTAAAAATAAGGAATAAAAGAATTTATGGAGTCATGTGCAGAAGAAGAGGAAGAGGGAAAAGCTGCAACAGACCCGATAACGTATACTTACAGAAATTTGCCAAGCATTTTGAATTGTACATATATTAAAGGACAAAATTATGGAATATTTGAAATGCTCAGATGAAACGTAGTATTCAAGTCACCTGCAGGACCAAGGAATTACAGCTTCTACAGTAATGCCTTTTTTGAGAAGAAAGAGACAACAACCTCAGATTATAATACTCTTCCAAAAGATTTTGGCAGTCACTTTCACCTAAAAAGGATTGCTGAGCCTCAGCACTATCTACTGATAACACCCAACCATTGTCCTGGCTGCAAAACCCAGTTCACCCAAAGCAGACCATTCAAAGTAGACTTATTCTACATCACAATGCCTGTGTCATTTGTCTCACTTCATCTCATCACATGAGCATTGTACCAGCTCACATGATCATCGTCAGAAGGCTGAGTACAGTACAACAAGATATTTTGACAGAGAAGGGACACTGACATAACTTTGATTAATGTATATTGTTAATTGTTCTATTTTATTATTAGCTGTTACTGATAGCTTATTAATGCGTTTAACTCATAAATGAAATCTTATCATAGGCATGCATGTACAGAAACAAAACATATTATATATGGGATGGGGGTACCATATAGGATTTTCAGGCATCCACTGGGGGTCTTAGAATCTATTATCCTCTGATAAGAGAGGACTACTGTGTTTAGTCCTAGCAACAGCCTTGTGCATTAGTAACTGAAATTATCTTTACTTTTAAGTGAACAAAGAGGCTGATGCGACTTACCAAAGATCACAAAGAAAGTAATCTTTGAAGGTGGAATGTATACCCTGTTCCAAAATCAGAGCCCTCCAACTTCATGTGGATTCCTCAATTCCCACATTTTTCTTATCTGTGTTGATTTTCTTTTTTTTTTTTTTTTTTTCTGTATTCAGTGATTCGTACTGCTGCAGAATATTGAACTGTTACATTGAACTTTTCTATCTATTATAGGTTTAGAGAAAAAGGCATTTGGCCACTAAGGGTGGGGCAAGGTCAGGGAAGACAGAGAGGGAACATGTCATTCTTAGGCACTGGAGGCAAGAAGATGAATTAGACACCAACACTGCTCACAAGCATGCCTTAATAAAGGACACAGAGGTGACGGTATGCTAAAGGACAGAGTCTGAAAAATTCAACTAAACTGGTTAACTTCAAAAGTGCTGGAGGAAATAACTGTGTTCAGCATACATATTGTGCTAAACTTAGTACTTGGAATCAGCTATAAAACATGATATCACAAAGACCTTGAAAGAGAGTGACCATGTTAGCAGTAGAAAACAGAGAGATTGAAGAGATACTGTAATTTATGCTTAGCACAAAGATGTAAGAATCTGGAAAAAGGCAGAAAGAGACCTAATGTTATCTATTCAGCAGTGAATGGACAGAGAGGGGAAGGAAAGAAGACTCACAAATAGCAAGTCCTTGCTAAGCAGCAGACAGTGCCAGATGCATTTTTCCCATCAAATCATTTCATCTTCACAGCAGCCATGCAGAAATCACCCTAGGCTCTTCCTGTTTCCCTAGAATACCCACCTTTAGGGCACAGAACATGTCATTTTCTCTTTTGTGTGATGACAAAGCACCTTTACCATGAATAGCAACTCAAGAAAGATTGAAAATGAACTCAGGAAAACGTCTATGCAAAGTTGAGTGGATGGAAATACCAGCAATTGGAATTTTGGAACTGAGAGGAACAAAGGGGGACTGACATGAATATAGAAGATAAATTAGCCTTTTGTATCTTTAAATCATCAGACAAAAAGGGATAACAACCACTTTGTGTCATCAAGACCAACAGGACAAATTACTGTTACTTGAACTCATGACCATAGGAAATCATCACGCCCTTATTCTCTCGCCAAACAAGAGCTACTGACAAAATACATGGGTTCCTGAACACACCTTGGCATGCAAAGCATTGACACTTTTATACAGTGAAAGCTCATGAATTGTGATTGTCTCTGAGTTTTATTATTAATTCTGAAGGTGAACTTGATAGGAATACTTTTTAGGTAATGTA